TTATTAGAGGTCATTTCGTTGAAAAAATCAAATTACAGCAGATAACGACTGTAGTGTCGTTTTACGTTGCAGATAACTACTGTAGTGTCGTTTTATATCGCGAATGCAGACCTTTCAGCAACAGCAGATTGAATTGGTGCATTATTGGTTGATGTTAAGTCATGGTGTTCGTCGTCTGGGTGAGTGCTATCCACTTGTGGTGGTGCGCGACCATGGGTGTCGCCGGAGGTAGGTTTTCCGGCAGAAGAAGATGCGCGAGAACTAGTTTTTTGGGCTGGTTTGTTGCTGATTCTGGTGGTTTCGTGGATAATGGCTGGTTGGAGGTTGTAGATGAGAGTGAGACGAGCTTAGGGGTGGTGGAGTCCGATGGTTTGGGTGATCGAAAAGTGGTGGAATGGAGCTCCATATGTGGCTGCTGAAAATGGGTGAAAATGAAGAAGAAAGAAGAATGTGAAATGAAAGAAGTTGGGTAAATAATTTGAGATAAATTGAAGGATAATTTTGTCATTTAACCATTAAAACATTTTCATTTTTTTAATTCTATTTCATTGTTGGTCAAAGGTCATTTATCCAAAATCATTGTTGAGGGGGTTATTTGGCCAAATTTCCCATCAATATTTATCTTGGACCTTTACGACGATTATTTTTTATTTTTTACGGCGCATTGGGAAAAATTGCAGGCGAAACCTCCTTCAACAATCCTCTAACTATTTCCTCCTCTAAGTTTACGATCAGTTTTGATTTATTTTTTCCACTTGATTTATATAAATATATAGATCTCTCGATTGAAATCGAGCTGAGGCTAGAAAATGGCCGGAAGATCATCGACGATGATCGTGACGAACACTCCGTCGAAAGATCTCGTCAACACCAATTTCGCCTACGTCTCACCCGCCGATTTCCGCAATTTCCTTGTTCCTGGATCCAAGCTCGCCTTCGCTCTTATCTCCGATTCATTCGTTCTTTCCGTCGCATATCCTTTTGCTGCTGCTTCACATTTTACACGCACCACGCGATCACAATTTTTTTTAAAGTTATAGCGTGGTGTTATAATGTTTAGAATGGACCTATTTGATGTTTTAAAACTAAGTAGCAAAGTTTGTGGTATGGTGAATGATGTGAAATTGTTGAAAATATAGGCTGATTTTTAATTTTGTTTGAGATAGAGAATCGGTTGTTTTAAGATGACTGATATGGATAAAGTATTGATTGAAAATTTTGGTTTTGGCCATGATAATTCACGTTGGAATGTTTGAGATTTGACTGAATCCACATTTACATTTTGTTTGAACTTGCACAGTTACACTGTCCTTCCTAGTTAATTAGAGTTTGTTAATTAATGACTTACTCTATCCGATCAAGAAATCACCTAACGCTCATATTACTGTAAGATTGAATCACGAGATGTGCGGAATTATTTGATCCATAGGCTCTCAATGCTTTATTTTTGTTTTAAGGAGAACATATGAATTGGTTTCTCTCAGGGCATACTTTTGCATCTAGCTAAGTTGTAATCTGAATATTTTTCGATGGATTATTAAGATTGTGTGTACTGTTTTGTGATGCCTTAACCACGGTGTACTGGCCATGAAGCTATTCCTAGGGGCCGTATTGCACTTAATGCTGTTCATCGTCGCCAGGCTAAAGTGTCTACTGATGACCCAGTATCTGTCAACAGGTTTGATGGTTCAATTTCTTATGTGCTAGTTGTTAATTGTTAATATTTATTTCATCACCTCATCTATGCCTTTGTGGTTATTTATTTCTGATTGTAGATTCTCACCACCTGAAAATTACAATCTTGCTTTGCTTACTGTCGAGTTGGAGTTTGTGAAAAAAGGGAAAGACGAACAGGTAAAATCTTTAACTCCTGGGTCCTATTTATCTGTCATACATTTCCTAATGATTGCATATCATTTATGATGGACGTTGTTTAAAAAATTTGGTCTCACATACCAGTGTGGCTTATGCTTATCAATTATGATGAAGAGTTCATTTACCCTTGTGCTTTTTGTCCAATCAACTTGACACAAAGTATGTTACCTTGTAGGTGGATGCCGTTCTTTTGTCTCAGCAAATTCGGAAGAGATATATTAACCAGGTGAGTGCTTCATCTTTATCTCTCTCTATCGCCTTATAGAAGTTTGTGTGCCATTGCCAATGGCATAGATGTTTTTCCAAGGTTGTTCTCTAGCATTCCAACACTTCTGCTGCTCTGCAAAGCTTTCTGCTTATGGTAGGGATAGAACAAAAAATCTAATGCCTATTATTACACGAATGAAGTGTTAAGTATATATAGCATTCAACAATATTAAGATTTGACCAAAATAGAGAAACTAATCAAATCCGTAGCTGTTGATGTTTATACTGGTCGCCAAATAACATCAAAAGTATTGGTTAATTTTTTTTCACCAGGAGAATTAATTGGCTTATTGCGAGCGGAACCAATGGGGCATGCTTACCTGATTAGTCTTTCTACTATAGGCATTATTATTTTTCTTTTAAAAAATAATTAAGAAATACTCATGGTAACTATTCGAACTGACAAAATTAGTAATAATATCCGTGAACGTATTGAACAATGTAATAGAGAAGTAAAGATCGTAAAAATGGGTACTGCTAGCCTCCTAGCATTCCAACACTTGATACATAAAGCTTTCTGCTTGTGGTAGGGATTGGATGAAAATCTAATGCCTAAATTTGGTTGCATGGATCTAACATTAATCAAGTGCTACGTATATAACTTACAACAAGATTAAGATTTTACTAAAATATTTCTTTCATTTTCATTCACAATGTATTCCCATTTGCAACTAATGAAACACCAGTGCTCCTTTACTTTCATCTCAAAGTCTCTTTATTGATCTAGATCTCTTGTTTCAGTTTATTCTGAAACTTGAGAAGTTTCGGAGGACGATTGCTCTCAGAATGTTATATCACGTTTCATGTGATTTTCCATCCTCCCTTCATCCAAAAAACAAAAGGAACTTTTCCTACTTGGGATTCTTGCCATATTTTAGAAATTGAGGTATCATTGATGAATTTTGTAAATCTTCTGTTATCAAATTTTGCCTTATAACTTTTGGGATATAAAACATAAAGGTATGTTTCTAACAATATCAAGGGCACGAAACTCCGATCCCAAATTTTCACTCGTTTGATCCATCCATTAGTCACAGATGTTTTCATAACTAAACTATGGAAGTGTCAAAAGCAATTATTTTGGAAGTGTCAAAAGCAATTATTTTGGTGTAACTCCTTTTGAAGATCATTTTAACAGTCAAGCACCATTCGTTTTCTTACTCTCTTACTCAAGCACAAAGAAAGGTCACCTGTGCTCTCACAGACATGTCTAGAGATTTTGTTAAAGAACTGGGATATCATATTTTTATATTTTTAGGGAATGACAATTTTCACTCTTGAAACTGTGTTTGACTGCTCTGTTTTCCTAGTTGTAACTGGAATGAATTTTGGTTGACATAGCAAACCTGCTCTTATATATGCAGATTATGACGACTGGTCAAAAGGTAACATTTGAGTATCATGGCAATGGATACATCTTCACTGTCAATCAGGCAAATATGGAGGAACAAGAAAAATCAAACAGTATTGAAAGAGGGATGATAACGGATGATACATATATTGTTTTTGAAGCATCAAACTCAAGTGGAATAAAGGTTAAGTTTTATTCCTTTTTCAGTTTTGGGCTATATATGGCTATAAGTTGCCCACATTTGCTGTGAAAATATGTCATATGGTGCTAAGCAGAGAAACTTATCGACATGTGTTTTTTACTGTGTTGATGCAGATTGTGAACCAACGTGAAGCTGCTAGCAGCAACATATTTAGGCACAAAGAATTCAACCTTGAGTCCTTGGGTATAGGTGGCTTGAGTGCGGAGTTTGCTGATATTTTTCGAAGGGCTTTTGCCTCTAGAGTTTTCCCTCCACATGTAACGTCTAAGTATGTCTACATTTTCTGAATTTGAGTATGATCTCTACTGTTGTAAACAAAATTTGTCAACCCTTGCCTCCTTGGCTAACCTAAATAGACTAATTGTTTTAGATTGGGAATCAAACATGTTAAGGGAATGCTGCTCTTTGGACCTCCCGGTACTGGGAAGACTTTAATGGCTCGCCAGATTGGAAAAATGTTAAATGGGAAGGATCCGAAGGTACATAGATGAATATTTGCTTCAAAGATGCTGCTATATGTTATTTTGAGATATTAATTGCTTATTTGCTGATGTAAGGTTGTTTTCCACCCCATCTTACTAAGTTCATTCTGAAAGTGTGTTGAGATTATGAACATTTTGTATTTAGTTGAGTTTCACATACAGATAGAGATTGATCTGTTGAGAGGTTTGGAAATCATCAGTGTGACTAATTAAGTGCACCTTAATCAGTTCCATCCGCGGCCCAAATTAAGTAAATAAAGTAAGAATAAGCGATAAGAGGATGAAGGACCAAAAAAATGCTAAGAAGTTATTGAACAGAGAATCAGATGTCTCAGTTTTAATCACGAGTTCTACTTTTTGATGCATTTATGGAGTCAAATTAGTTCACCATTTGATTTTATCTAGAATTGTAAATGTTGTACAGCCTTGCTTAGTTTTGTTTATACTGCAAATTCCTTCTCGGCATTACAGCTTATTTTTAACATATTATGTTTGTTTTAATGATGAAGTAGACATTTTTCTGGGGTACTCTGATTCAATTATTATGGTATACCTGCCATAGGTCATTGTGTGGTATGTGTAGAGTATATGACGTCCTGGGTACTTTATAATTATGATATTTAGGGTTCCCAACCTTCACTGGTTTGTTTACATTTGGATGTGAATGCTTTGCTCTTTCCTCTATTAACTTCCCACTTACTGTTTTTTTCTCTTTTTAAATTTGCATAATGACCCTGGAATTTTAGATTGTCAATGGACCTGAAGTGTTGAGCAAATTTGTTGGTGAAACTGAGAAAAATGTTCGCGACTTATTTGCTGATGCTGAACAAGATCAAAGAACCAAAGGTCATTATCTTACAAAGAAAATTTTGCTTTTGATGTTGTGTCCTTGGCATAATTTTGTTCATTTTCATCTTTTCAGGTGACCAAAGCGACTTGCATGTTATCATATTTGATGAAATTGATGCAATCTGTAAGGTAGGACATCAGAAAGTGAATTTATACCTTTTATTGCATGATTTCATTTTTTTCTGTTCTTGAGAATGGCCATCTACTTTACTTCACTGTAGACCATTGTTGCTATTGCGTAACCCAAGTTGACTGCGGTATGATTTAATATGTATATTTGATAGCCAGATAAGTATGGTGTGCATCAAAACATTACTTTTTGAAATGTAGGCTATTGACATTGTAGTGATAGGTTGACAACCTTATTGTTTTCTTCCTTTTGTTCTTGAGTTAATGACTGCCCAACATTCAATTGCTTAATGATGAATTGAGATCCAAGCATTTGTAAGTTTTCTTCAATTATGTCCGAATATGTGTCAGCATCCATTTACTAAGTTGAGTTCACTGGGTTTCTTTTCAGAAGAGATTTTTATAAAATCCTCTTCTCTTATGCTAGTAATACAAGGTTTTCTTGGGTATTATTGTTATAATTATTATGAGCAAAATTCTTCTCTGGAATTGTGATTTTACAAGCCAAATATAGCCCCTATATATAGTGATATTTATACAATTGTCTGCTTCCAATCAACAAGCTTTATATTGTTTAAAAAACTTGACTGAATATGCCGCTAATGCTTCCATTTGACTTTGCAGTCTAGAGGTTCTACTAGAGATGGTACTGGAGTACATGATAGTATTGTCAACCAACTCCTTACAAAGGTATATTAATGATTTCTGTTGCATTCAGCAGGAAGATTTAGCTTGACCTGAATGGTATTTGTAGCTGGTACACACCATTGACTAATTGTTGATTACTCGTTTTTTTAGATAGATGGCGTGGAGGCCTTGAATAATGTCTTACTCATTGGTATGACAAACAGGAAAGATCTGCTAGATGAAGCACTTTTGAGGTAACTATAATTTTTGTATTTATTTCATAATTTCAGTTTTTCCTACTAAAGGTGTTTGTCATTAGCGGATTGAAGTTGCTCACATTTTTAAAGCGATTAATTTACAATGTGATAAATATGTTTTTAAGTTTATAAAATGACTGCTCTATAAAGCAATAATATAACCATTTCACACTGTAGGCCTGGACGCCTGGAAGTCCAAGTGGAGATAAGCCTTCCCGACGAGAATGGTCGTTTACAAATTCTCAATATTCATACAAACAAGATGAAAGAAAATTCTTTTCTTGCTCCAGATGTAAACCTGCAAGAACTTGGTATGTGATTTCCATGTTACATCATCTGCTGATGTGGTCATTGGTTAATACCTAGTTCCTAATATTTTTATATTGCTAAATTAAATATCTATGTTCTGACAAGTGTGATGGATTCTGGGTGCGAAAAAAGATATTTTCATTTCCTGTTTCCTATTTTAAACTGGAAAATGTAGGGTTTTCCATTCACTTCTTTGAAGTTTACAGGGTAAAGAACGGGCCATTACTTTTTCAAATTGCTATTTACTGCCATTAGGGTTCAGAAATGGTTCGAAAGCAGAAGCTGAATATTGTAAAAACAAGAAAAGCTAAAACAGGGCTAAATGATTTATTTTTATGTTGAAATTATTGAAATACAATTATATAATAAATTCATTGCTTTTTATCTCTTTTTATAATGAATATGAGTAGTGATTACAAATAAGTCTAACATCTAGGCATTGGAAGAAGGGTAATCTCCTCATTCTAGTAGACTCTGAAATAAGAATAATAACTCTCTCGTAATAAACCATATCAACTAAATATCAAAACTAATACAATTCTATAAATGCAAGGAATCTTAATCACTAATAATTATTAAATCCTAAATTAGTAGTAATAATAATTTATTTCTAGTAGAATTGTCTTAGATGAATTTCCTGCACTTTAAAAAAAACTCTTCCTCAAGTTTTGTTGACGAAGAGAAAATTAATCAATCTGGAGGAAAATGTTCCAAAATTTATGCCATCACCTTGTGAGGATTTCGTACTTAGCTGGGACAAGAGAAAAACTTCTAGACACTTGTTGCTGTGTTTTGGGTTGTTGAAGCAACCAACATTCATAGCAGTCAAACTCTGCAAATTCTTGTCGGCACCATTTTCGAATCTTTTCAACGTTTGTTTCATATTCTAGACTGATATTGATAATTTTGTAATCCTTTAAGCATCGTTGTGAGGATGCATGTCATGACCACCATATGTGGTCATCAGCCAATGGCAAAACCTTGCTTTGATACCAATTTTGGTATTGTAGCATAAGTTGATTCTTGTAGAAACAAGAAAAAGCTAAAAACTAAAAATTTTCTGTAGTAACTTGAATAATAATGAATGAATTGTGATAACAAACAAGTCTAGTCCTCTTCTTAGATAGGCATTGAAAGAAGAGGTAATATCCTAATTCAAGTGGACTAAGTAAAAGAAATTAATTTCTGAAAAGAATAAGAAAACTAATAACTTGCTTTCAACAAAATAACAAATTTTATACAATCCTATAAATACTAGGAATCCTAATTATGAATAATAATTAAATCCTAAAACTAGTAGTAATAATTGATTTCTAGTAGAATTGTCCTACATCATGAAGTCAAGTAGCAAACACTTCTCTTGTTTAGATTGCTTTCTTCTTTATTGAAAGTTACCACTATAAATTTATATGCTTTTAGAAAATTTTGTCCTTGCTCTCACATAACAAATCATAACAAATTCACAGAAGGCATTACTTGCCTTGACCACATGATATGATGATTTACTCACTTTTCACTATTTTAAAGAACATGTAACCATTAAGACACAAGAGAGTCATATAGAACATTTTTCATATTTGGAGCAAGGAAAAGAAGCAATGTATTATATATCAAAGTAAAAGATTTGCGATTGTTTTATCCAAATACTGTCATCAAAATATATGATTCTATAAGTTACGTTTCCTGTGAGGGTGTCATTGCCCATGTTTGTCCAATCATAACTACATAGTTGGGAGGAATTGATGAATTCTTAAAGATGTTATGGTTTTAATTTTTGTCTTCATTTTAATAGTAAACAAATTTCCATGGAAAATAAACCATTCAAAATGCCATCTAATTATGTACAAGGTAATTATGAATATGTTCAGGTGAATATTGAATTCATGGTCAGTGCAATATATTGGACACTGACTGTTTATATCCTTGCCCAGTTGTGAGGTCCTGGACATGCATACTATTTGAATAGTATAATACATGTGTTATTCTTTTTGGTTAAGTTTGCTGAAAACTGAAAAGCAAACTTTGAGTGCGGTAATAGTTTAAACCCTGGAGGTTGTATATTTAATGCATTGGTACTTATCCTTTAGTTGTGATCATGTCGACTTTTAACTATTAATTAGTAATATTGTTGTAACAAGCATATGTGTAAATAACTATTATGAAAGGAGAAGCCTCTTTATAAAATAACCTACCTCTAATATATGTAGACTTATCCTTTTGTTTGTTCAGACATAAATTTAGGAATTCAACGTGTTTGAGAGGAACGTACTTAGCTCTCCTAATTTTTTAATGAAATTCTTCGATTACCATTACTTTTTCTTTTGTATGCAGCTGCTCGGACAAAAAATTATAGTGGAGCAGAACTTGAAGGTGTCGTAAAAAGTGCAGTGTCATATGCTTTAAACAGGCAACTAAGTCTGGATGATCTTACCAAAACAGTAGATGAGGAGAGCATAAAAGTGACCATGGATGATTTTTTGAATGCCCTTCGAGAAGTAATTCCAGCATTTGGAGCTTCTACCGATGACCTTGATCGTTGCAGGTTTATTTACTCAACCAAAGGAGTTCCTTTTTCTTTGTTCCTTTTTCTTTTATCATGGGCTCTTCTTTTAATTAGGAGAATTTTTAACTTAATGGTACAATAGACTTCATATTATATTCACTATTAGTCTGTTACTGCAAGAGAAATTTGACATTAACACTCTTAATACTGAGGCACGACAATCAAATTCTCATGCCTACATATTACTTTTCATGGAACGTTAACCGATGACCATATGCCCAATTCAAAGGTCATTTTTGATTGACCATTTCTGAGAATAGTCCAATGCCCACTAAAAAATTATGTTTCTCCTAGATCACTTTGGGAATAGTCAACTGCACCACCAACTAAAATAATATTTCTTTTATATATTTTTCCTTTTATTTGTTTGCACTCTTTAAATCGTTATATATGGATTTTGAAGATTGCTTATGACGTGTTATGAGCTTATTTTGCATTTTGATAATTTTTTGACATTTTTTGGTTTACGCCTCAAGGTTCGTGCCTCGCTTCATAAGAAAAAGCACCTTGGTTCCCAATTATGCCTTTTTAAACGTTGGGTAGATTATGTAATATTTCTCACAATCCACCACTTCTTGTTAATTGGGTGCTTCCGCCTTCTTGTGTTTATATCCGCCTACCATTAAATTTCATAATGGGCTCTCATATCATAAAAATGTGATAATCAACTTATCATGTCTTTCAGACTTAATGGTGTAGTGGAATGTGTTGAGCGGCATAACCACATATATAGAAGAACCATGCTCTTAGCTGAACAAGTTAAAGTTAGTCAAGGAAGCCCTATTGTTACTTGTCTTCTTGAAGGCCCAAGTGGCAGGTAAATATTGCCTTATTTTGGATTCGATGTGTTAATTGCCAATGATTTTCTAAATTTTATTTTTCTGTGACAGTGGTAAGACTGCGATGGCAGCAACTGTTGGTATTGATAGTGATTTTCCTTATGTCAAGATTGTAAGTGATTTCACATGCTCATGCTGAGCATTTACATATTTGTGTTCATTTCTAACTCTCATATTCTTATTTTTTATGAGTTACTGATTTAAATTTTTTTGTTGGTTAGATATCTGCTGAAACGATGATTGGGCTTAGTGAAGGAAGCAAATGTGCTCAGATAGTCAAGGTTCTGTGTTTTGTCGTAACTATGAGCTGCTTAACTATGTTCATTAGAATTCCAGTTACATGAGTAATCTACATAATTTTCCCCCATTTTTGATCTACCAGTTCCCCTTCTTTGGAAGGGATATCTTGCTTGTTTTTAACTTTATATCTTCAAACTTTTATATGATTCCAAAAATATCTATAGATACAAGCAGCTAAACCTTATCTTCTATGAACTTGGTGTCGGGTATATGAATAATTTGCAAGAGATGCCTAAGTGAGATTTGAATCATATATTTTTTTCTCCTCGAGTTCTGCCCCCTACCTAGATCTTCATTTTTTTTCTCTCATTCTATTTGGCTATATATCTTTTTAATGTTCTCAGGTTTACCTTGTTCATCTTGTGGACAATTTGTCCTCTAATGACCTAACTTTGAGTGCCATGAAGTATAAATGGTTTATATCCACTCTAGAATCTTTTTACTTGATAGATATATTTTGTCACATTAAGGCACGTGTAACTTGTATGATGTATGCATAGAGTTGAGGTATATCATGTATATCGTTTTCTGATAGGTATTCGAGGATGCCTATAAGTCACCATTAAGCATAATTATCCTTGATGATATTGAAAGGTAACTACTTTTGATTCTATATGAATAATTTTTTCATTCTTTTGCATTATTTTCTAATCTTTGTTTGCTAATGCAGATTATTGGAATATGTTGCCATTGGACCCCGATTTTCGAATCTGATTTCTCAGACATTGTTGGTGCTCATGAAACGGCTTCCTCCGAAGGTAACTTTTGAATACCTATGATGCATTGACACGGTGATATGTGTCCGACACGATACGTGATAGATACGTCGACACGCGATTTTTAAAAAAAGTACTGACACGGCATGTTGCCGACATGTTAATTGACTTCTTTAAAATTCTTTATTTATATAGTATAAATTTTTTTTATATTTATTAATTTTTTGTTGAAATCTTATAAATATGATTACCTATTTGTTATTTACTAATAACTTCGAGTAAAAGAAATTTATAACATTTCTAGTAAAAAAAGAAAAAATGATTATGGTAGAGTGTCCGAGGAGTGTCGGTATCGACACGTGTCGTACACAAACACGCTAACCTAGTTGAAGTAATTTTTTTGTTGAAATCTTATAAATATGGTTACCTATTTGTTATTTACTAATAACTTTGAGTAAAAGAAATGTATAACATTTCTAGTAAAAAAAGAAAAAATGATTATGGTAGAGTGTCCGAGGAGTGTCGGTATCGACACGTGTTGTACACAAACGCGCTCACCTAGTTGAAGTGTCCGTGTTACAGAGCTGAATATTGAGGTGTCAGTAGAGGCTATAGTTAATCTGATTCCTTATTGAAAAGGATGCCTTAAACTACTTTTGCTTTGTGGTAATACCGAGGTAAGTCTCACATATTCCTGGAGTTTAAAAGTTTGGGTTATCTCTGAGGGTTAATTATGCTGATAGGCCTTAGACTGCTGCCTTTTTCCGATCTGGCTGTTAATGCCAAAGGGGCACCAACCCAGCACGAACAAAAAGGGGGACTTCATAAAGAATTCGATTTCAACCCATTAATCTGTCAAGTTGCAATTTGGTCAAATTATAGTCCAACTCCTAGTCGATCAACCAATGGAAAAGGTCTCAGGTGCATAGTGCGTTTTTGTGTTAAAGGTACTGACTTAAAAAGATCATGTATTCTCTTTCAGATTACTTATAGTATTCTACCTGGAAAATGAGCAAATATTCTACTCTTCATGTTTAGTTAATGAGCATTCTTTGAGTAGTCTTAAAAATAATTTTTCCTTGATCAATTTTACATCCTTTATTACACGCCTTATTGGGAATCCAGAAATAGGGGCCGCCTCCACCAGATTGTTCACCTTCTGCTCATCAACGAATGCTCCCACTCCATTACTCTTTATGTGCAAAATATAACTCCTGACCTCCCCGCCATATTGATTACATTTATTCTTTTCATCATGTTCGGTGTATTTTCAATTAGTTTTCATTCGAGGCCTTTTGGTTCCGATTTTTGAACAAATTTAAAAGAAAAGGATGGGTTGTTGTTTCAAGAGCTTTTATTCACAAATCGTTTGTGCTTGTTTGCGTTATGGGATTGATCCAATCAGACAGGTTGCAGACTGCTGAATTTGTTTTCTTTGGATGATGAAGACGAGTGTTTTGTTACAATGACTCATTTCCACGACCAAATTATTGGAGTGCCTCCATTTGCAAACCTCTGAATGATTTTTTTGAGAATGTTTTCCACAGAGGCAACAAGCGAAAAATTGAATTTAAGATCTGAGGAGGCAGGTGCAGTGCTTGGTGGGGTTTGGAGACTGGTGGAAGATAGAATGTACTGAGTGCTTTGCTACAAGATCAATTTTGATGCCAAGGTGGTGTGTTTGAGAAGGGATTTGGGGTTAGTGATTGACATGGCCATGATGATTTCCTTTTTTCTTTGTTTTGCCCCCTCTTCTCTCTTTCTATGAAATCGAGGGTTGACCGAGGATAGAGAAGTTTATATGGTGCTAATTTTGATATGTAAGAGAAAAACGCCCTCATGTTATTGCCAAGGAAAAACTTGTTGACTCATGGATGTTTTAGACTCGGCAGAGATATCTTGTGAAACATTTTTTTGTAATGGGGTTGACAACGTCACGTCAATCTTTTGTGGCTGGAAATTCAACAGTGATGATAGAGATGATGGGATTGACGCGACAAGGGAAAAACAATTGAATTTGGTTGAAACCATCCAAATTTACGGTTGTACCCTAAGAATACAAGGACACAATATTCATTTAATTCATTTTCCAGCTGTTGATCAACAGCTGGTTGCATATTGGATGACACTGTGACCATGCTTGAGGCAATTATGTGTTGAAAACTTGAAATTAAAACTCAGGGAATAAATTGAGACTCTGGAAAGTCTAGGGACTACAAGTATCATTGGCCCTTAATTATTATTTTTGCTCTGGTTCTGATGCTGGAACTGGAAGCAAGATGTTTTCTTTAGTAAATGAATTTTTGTCAGAAGTGCGAAAGAGATTGTTGTTTGCTGTGTGAAACCAACAAAATTGGTAAGAAAGTTGATATATCTTATAGGAGGGAGTTGTACAGTATGAATGAAAAAGAGAAAAACAAAAATGTACTTGAGAATACATTTGGGCAATAATAGAGATGTAAAATGGGCAGGCAGACCGGCGTGGGCCTGAAAGATTATTGAACTGGACCGACTGGGCTATTGGTTCGGTTTGGAACAAGACCGGTTATTCTTTCTAAGCCAGTCCAAAAGGGGTCAAGTCCAGACCCCCTACCTGTTTGTTCTTAATCTTTGATTTCTTTAAAATCCAATTCTCTAAAATTTATATTGCTCAACGGCTTGGTTTATTTAAGACGGTAATTGATTTGCCTTGATTAAATCAAGATAGCATTAAGTAATGTCTTAATTACATCAAGATTGACTCAAAATTAATTAATTTTCCCTGATTTGATAGAGGCAATAATCAATTGTTAGAATTAAGTAGTTTTGCTTCCCTTGTATTATGGCTGAAATTTGCCTAATTGAGGCAGGTTAATCTAATTTCTGCCTTGATTATGCATTTGAATTGGAAAGTTTAACTTTTTCCTTAGTTTGTACATGGGCTGCAGTTAACTGTCGGGTCAGACCCCAAAACCCGGACGGGCCTGCCTAGGAGGGTGCAATAGCACGAGGACAGGCCCAATCCCGTTGTGGTCCAGTTTACTGGCTAGTCTTTAAGCGAACAGGCCTATCCGGGCCTGGCAAACCTCCCGGTTTGAAATGTCCAGGCAATGACAAAGATATAATTGCAGTTAAAGAAATGTGTTCAGATCTAAACTGCACTCATGATACCTTATAGTGACTCTTTAGAAGGCAAGTGATGACAATACGTTTTTATGAAGTTTATGAAGTGAATAAACTCTTATCTGTTCTTTTGAGCAGACTATTGTAGTTAGCATTAATTTTTAGCTTGCTCTATTAGTTAATTCCGTGCTCTTGGTAATTTAGGCTTATGTGCTTGTCTCCTTCAAGTAGGTTTAGTTACATTGTAGACTGCATCATGATATAACTCTCCTTTGCTCAGCACCTCTAATATTATTTTATTTTACTTCTAATGTAATCTTTATAGGGGAAAAAAATCCTTGTGATTGGAACTACAAGTGAGGTCAATTTCTTAGATTCAATTGGCATTCGAGATGCATTCTCTGTCACATTCCATGTTCCAACATTAAAAACAGAAGATGCCAAAAAGGTACATCGGAGTCCTTATTCCGGTTCATTTCTGCAGCTACCAATATCTTCTTTTTTACCAGTCAAGTGCAGTTGACCTTCTTCTGTGCTAAATGTAGAAAGGACAAATTAAAATTGCCAAGAGTTTGGTTACATGCTTTGTGATTGGACAATTTTGAATTAAAACTGTGAGGATTGCAATTTGGTTTTTCTTACTTTCAGTACTTGATACACAACTATCTTAATCAAGTCTCCTTTCTTTCAAGTGCTACCTTTTTTGTCCTAAAGATATTGCTTAGAGGTATCATTCTTTCTTGCTTTCCTTGAAAGGAAGTAAAGTTTGGAATTTAAAAGGTTTCATTCCCTTAAAACTTAAGCAATGCCTAAGCATGTAAACACCATTTTGAGAATGGATGAGTGCCTTTTTGATGTAGAAATTAAGTTCATGTTCAGTTTTCTGGTCATTTGTTTCTCTCAGTGGCTCCGAAGTTGCTTTTGTTTTATCTGGAGAGTTTTCTTTTATGTGTTAATGCAATTCTTTGGGGGGTAGGGTAGTTTCTTTTATATATTAATACTCATTCCGTCCCATTTATATAGGCTCACTTTCCTTATTTTCTTGTCTCAATTATATAGTCTTGTTTCTTTATTAAGAATGTTTTGTTCTGTTCGTTTGCTAATATATCCTTATTTCTTTACTACTTCCAATAATAATTTACTACTAGGTATTGATAATTAAATGAGGGTAAAATAGGAAAGTTTTTGACAAAAATTGCTTTTCCAATAACATTAAGCCCTTGTTTGACATCTATTCTTTCTCTTTCTCTTTCTCATTCTCATTCTCATTCTCATTTTTTTCTCTTTCTTTATTTCAACCACACATTTTATCAATAAAATAATATTACACATAAACTCAAATATTCTCCTTACTTTTTAACTACACATTTTTCCATCAATCACTATTTCAAATCAAATTTTTCTTCAAAAATGGATGTCAAACAAGGGCTAAATAAGATTTCTTAATATGTGTGAAAAACAAAACAAGCCTATATAAATAGGACGGAAGGAGTATGATTTTTGGGGTATGGTAGGGTAGGTTGTTTCCTGTTTTTCAAATCCTTCTCTCTTTGCCAGCTTCACGTTAATTGATTATGCACAATTCAATTATTCTGCTTGTTGATATCTCCTACTTGCACAGCCATAACCATACCTCTATCTATCTATTGACTGAACTTTCATTGCAGGTGTTACAGCAACTTAATGTTTTCTCGAGTGGTGATGTGGATTCCGCTGCTGAGGCATTAAATGATGTAAGTGTAAAATTCTACCTCTCTATATCTACCATTCCGAGCAACAAGGAGGTAATTAGACCAAAAATTAATAAACTGATAAATAACTGGCAAATAGATGGAGTCTGGCCACAGCTTGTTTCTAGAAAAAAAAAAGAAAAAATGAATCTCTGATGGACAAGGTAAATTGGGCTAATCTATTTTTGTTGGATTTGTTGATTCTCTAGATGCCTATCAAGAAGCTTTACATGGTTGTTGAAATGGCTGCTCAAGGGGAAGATGGTGGAACAGCAGAAGCCATATATTCTGGCAAAGAAAAGATCCAAATGTCACATTTCTATGATTGCCTCCAGGACGTGATACAATATTAGTTTTGCCTTCCCATTACATGTAATTGCAGTTTCGCATTGTTCTTTGATAAATTTTTCATCTCATCCACTATGATGACCTTCGATCAGACCTGGTCACGGCTTTTAGCATTGTGTTGGTGTCACTAAATACATAAGTTTTGTTAAATCTTATATTCCGTTTTCCTTCCAAATTTTTGTCTGAAGTTCGTGTCTAGTATTTGATTCTTCAAACCTTGGATTCTACCTGTAATGCATCGATCAATGTCTTATATGTAAAACAAATTGGGCGTTTTCATTTTTCCCCCAAAAGAACAAATTGCAAGGTAAAATGCCTTAATATTTCAAACCAACAATTAAAATAAACTGTTCTCGTTTTATTTATTTCTCATCCTAGATAAAAGATAAGAATTGTTTCTTTTATCTCGAACTTCATCACTGCGTTTAGCTTTCTAGAGTTGACCACATCGATTAGTAAGAATCCCAAAATGTATTATCTAATTTTCTCAATTTCAAACGTTGAAACCTTCCGCACGGAGGCATCTTTTGTGAGCCTCGATCCATTTTCCACAAGCTGATTCACCGTGCTCCACAATGCACTCGTCTCTCAGCTTCTTAGTATCGGGGCAAGCACAACAGATTTTCTTCTTCGGCTTTGAATCAGAGGCAGGTGCCACAGTGCCTGAGCGTTGATCTTTTGGCAATTCTAAAGAGACGACAGAAGAGTTCCGTATTGGCAATCCACCCATTTTCAAGGTCCCTGGATGATATAGAATATCAGACACTTGTACAATACAAAAGAATTAGAGAATGACGTATAAAATTTAAATAAAGGTAGCACCGAATGGAACGACAAATAGTCGACAAGAATCTAGAATCAACATGCAGATGATCATAAAATACATGAATAAAAAATACAGAATCTGCAGGGAGAAAATTACTTTAAAGAAAATGATAGCACAGTGATGGTGTTGTCAAAAACATGCATTTATTTATGTACAACAATACGCAATAGATCCTGAATTATATTCCTGTTATAATTATTAATTTTATATTTATCTTAGATGAGGATGGATGCACCAAAATTAACCTGGCATGTTGTGATGACTAAAGATACAAGTGCTTTGGATCTTCCTCTCCCCCTAGTTATGAAGTGCGCGCACACACTCCCATTGAGGTGGCATGTCTGTTTGTCAAGACTCGAGTCAGAGCTTGTCGCTGCAGACGAGCTTAGACCTCACCGTGACACATACCATAATTATCTTCAGGGATATCTTTCCATGGTTATGGTGAAGTTCTTTATTTGTGCCAAGGGACCACTGGTAAATATGAGTACAGGGATGACAATATCTCTAGCGATGAGTTGGATGTAGGGAGGAAAGCAGTTAGTACTTCTCCAGATAAATCTCCGGAGATTAGGTGGCCAATGTTACGCAAGACAACGAGTCTAGGAGATAAAGGTCCAACTGTGAGTGGATCACTCAAGTAAATTATGATAACATCATCAATCAGACTGGGAAATGGGAGCCAAAATGCTACTATTAATGCGGATTGTTTTAAGAAGGCATATTATGGAGGTCAGTTTAATACCAAATCCACATCCAAGACCGAGCCTGATGATTTGGGTGCTCAAAAATCAGTGATGCTGTGATGCTAAGATGAAGGAAACCTAGGTCTTCAAAAAATTTAACCAAATTCCCAATCTCATTCACAGGAAAATTTGTTAGTTTACTTACTATACTCGGATAATAGACAAGTTTTGTCACCATGATGTCCAATATTGAAAGTTTACTAGCGAAATTGAGTTCTTTAAAATTGGGGAGAAATGATGGAGATTTCACTAACTCTTGCCAAAAAAAAAAAAAAAAACTAACCAATTCAACTCAATGAGCATTATGTCATCTAATAATTGGTTAGGAGGCCTATGCTGAAAGTTTGGGAGCAGGAGAACAAGAGATGGCTTGTATACACACTTATTTTAGGTGTTAAAAAAGGAATTAATTTTATTCTTATTACTTTCTTGGCATAGTTATTAGCTTTGTTGTCAGGCAACTTTCCCTTTTTGTTAAAAAATTGAATTATATTATACGAGATACAGTTATAAATCATATTCACAGATATTCATTTACTCTAAATTTCAATCCCCCTAAATTCTCAATTTTCCCCTCTCGGATAAAATAAGAGTGTCTGCACCACACAACTCTTAAGATACAATAATTGCACTTCCAGAGTCAGTTTCAGCATCAACTCCATCCATAGCAAGAAAAAAATAAAGAGGAACCTAAGAATAAGCATTATTATAATGAAAGCTCCCTTCATGTAAATTTTGCCTGTTCATAAAGAGAAACAGCCCAAATCCATCTAAAGTTTCTACTGACTATTATAAGTACTATCATCTTGACTTCTTCAAAGCAAAATAACAACTTCCAGTAAAAACCTGTTCTACAGTCTGATCTGATAGGGAAATAAGTAGGACAAAAGAAAATCAAGACAAGAAACAGGAAGGGAGAAAACACATGGAAATGAATTTACTGTTCTGAAAAGTAACGCAGCCCAACCAGAATTTCACAACCTGGAGATAAATTATTCAGGAAAAACATAGAGAGCTTTTACTCTGACTAACCCTATGTGTTTTAAAAGCGATAAAGTAAATTCTTGGAAGGGTCATAAGGCTTCAGCCAATGTCTCAATATATGAGGCGTTAGCACCATAACAAAACTTTCCACATATGGTCCATGGCAGGTGATGTTAACTTGAACGGATCCAGGAAACACATTTTAAAACATAGCTTAATATTGTTCATAGATGCTATATGCTATGTGAACTTAACGTGAAAAGTTCCCTAGTATAAAATTATTCAAAGAGAACATTTTCTGTACTAGTGGCATACAAACCACAAGCTCCAAAAAGTTTTTACTGGAAGAACCTATGGTGCTCATTGCAATGACACATCAATCACATAGAAAGAAACAACAGGAACAGAGAATATTTTGTGTGCTGCAAACATGCCAGGATGGGATCCAAACTTCTGCAATAGTTTCCACTGAAAATGATGGAACAATACTATGGGCAAGGAACGTATGAAATAATGTTTATGGTTGGTGAAATTGAATAGCAGCCTTCTTCAACCTTCTTTATACAACTTCAAATTAATCACCCTAATAAGTTTCCAAGGAAAAGTTATTGCTTTATTCCCCTATTTTGGACTAGGTTAAAATCTATACCTATCTCCCACTGCATTTCAATCCATATTGGAGAATATCCAGCTTTCTTTATTGTGTCATAAAAGAAGTATTCTCTATATGCTAATTCGAAAACCCAAGGCTATACAACTGTCCCCAGGTTTTCACTCTAAAGCTAACTCCACAGTTCAAATTACAAAATGGGCACAAAGATAGACGTTTCATCCCTTACCTAATTGAGTATTGGGGAAAGGAAAAGTTTATTGCTATCTATTATCCTGCTAGCAGTGGTGGATCCAGAAAAAAATTTAGCACGGGCTAATCCGCAAAGAAAAAAATTCACACATAAATTTTTTTTTTCCTTCAGCATTTGGGCTGGAAGGGACGGCCAGCCCGTTCCTAGATCCGCCCCTGCCTGCTAGAGAATATTTACTTTATCCAATGTACTTAAAAAAACATGCATTATGAATTATGGGATGCCAATTTTCTGCACAATTATAACTTTTCTCTTCCAAGAACTCCATACATTTGAACTGAGAAAATCAATATGATTGTTACCCATTATGTAAAATGAAGAAATTAGTTAGTGCAGTTGGGCACACATAATTTGTTTGTCACTTTGAACCACGGAGTGAACTTCCCAACGCCTTCAAATCCAATATTCCCATAAATTGTGATTTTCGGTCAGCTCTAGGTTAGAAGAATCTTACCTCGCTCATCTTCACTATTATTGTATTCAATAAACAAAAAGAAGAATACATTTGCAAACAAAAAGGACAAATTTCAGAAAACTTAAATAAGTACTAGTAAGACATAATGAAGTGGAAAAGCATTCCTATGGAGAGTGAGAGTGAGAGAGAGAGAGAGAGAGACCTATGCAGCACAACTCACAATATTTGGCAAATTAGAAAATATAAGGGCATAACGAAGTACAATTTAAGGTAAAGAACACACAAGAAACTTTAAAAAATTGTACTCCAAAGGGTTTTTCCAGAAAAATACAAATTCTGCGGGTGCAAAGACAACTGCTATTTATACATTATATTTCTAACAAATCAACAAAAAGACTGCAGACACTATCTTTTCCATGTCAAAATAAGGTCCAATTCCTATATATAACCAGAAAATTTTAGTAGATAAAACATAAAAAGACTTTTAGTTACTGCTTAAATACAAATGCTTCTCACTTATTTCACTACATTCTTCATCCCACTGCAACACGGTCCAGCCAATGTTTACATCAATTTTGACCTCTTTAAAAATAAATCAAATTGGGTGAACTTTAATTTTTGTAAGTTTACATTTTTATTCACTTCCAAGCAATGACTAAACAAAGATTCATGACAATATCGATTCTTTTTACAGGAAAAAAAATAAAAAATAAAGAAGAAACCATAAATTCATCACGATAAAGTGCATAATTACATAATTTTCATTGGTTTTCAAGTGATTCACGTATACTCTTCACAGATTACGAAAACCCCACCAATCCATATTAAAATAAACACCGAATGAACCCTACAAATGCGTATGAATTTGCATATCATCTATAAACAAACACACAGGAAAAGAGAGATACCTTATTTTCTCACGAATTTGAAGGGAAAAAAAAGGGGTTGCAAAAGCGTTTCAACTGGCAAATTGCAGAGGAGAAGTTGAAGAGTATGAAGCAAGAGACTTTTAAACTGGGTCCAAAAGAAGTTGGGCCTTTCGGCCAGAAGGCCTTATTCTTTTGAGGGAAAAAATAAAAAATAAGGTGTTTTAAGTTTCTAAATTCAAAAATCAGGTTTATATAATTTAAAAATTCAAAAATCAGGTTTTATTTTCATTTTTATTAAATAA